TTTTCAAACTTGTTTAAGTAGTTTTCAATCGGTGTATGTTTTTACAAATTGGGGCAAAGGATTAAAGAATTTTTTTAAAATTATGTAAAGTATTTGAAAAATGTCTTTAAAATGACATTTATCATCTAAAATTTGCAAAAAAATGAAGATTTTTTAATTGATCATAAATTTGTGCATTCCAGTTTCCCGCGGGGAATATTTTGATAAAGTGCATATTGAAAACCCGTCGGCGCTTAAAAGATTTATTTGATAACTTTATAAAAAGCAATATTTTCCAAATAAATAACATTTTCCAAATATATCATTGTTATTATTCTTTTATAGAAACTGGAAGAAAAACTACGGATAAAAACCCAAATTATTTAAAAACTATTATAAAAAAAACTTTTTTATTCAAACAATAAGGCAAAAAGTTTGTTCTCGTTTTAAATTGGAAAATAAAAAAGTGCGTCTTACGTTTTAAAACGTCTTTTTATTAAAATCATTCTTATCATACTGGAGATATTATTATTACAATAAAACAATGTTTAATGAACGCAAACCCTTGAAAACACTTTATGAATTTTATTATGAACGGGCTATAAAGTAATCATCGTTGAGTTAAAGTTAAATTAGCTATTCATTATAGCACTTGTGCTATAAAGTTTTGATTGGTTCCCGGATTTTCTCCAAAAAAATTTAGGATATTTCCAAAATACTATTTTCAATTTAGATGAAAATAAAATTAAAATTAACTTTATATTTTTATTTCTGCTTTCTTACTGCTTATTTTAACTAGAAATATCCATTGCAATAAAATAAGTACACAAACGTTTCATAAAATTTCCTATATCACTATTATTTTGGAAAAACGTGATATAAAGTTTTTTTCTCTGCCACACTGCGAAACAAAATAATAGTTTCATAAATAGTTATTTTTCAGAGACATATTCATGTATTTTTGTAAAAGATAAAAAACTAGAAAGTATTGGTGTTTTGTGATCTGCAGTCGTGTTGTGGAAAATAGAATATCATCCCTGTCAGGAATCTTGGAGACTAAAGAAATTTTGTGAACTTTATTTCTATACTTGAATTTTATCCCCCGGAATCCTACGATTAGATTATCTAAACCTTTGTATATACCCCCTTTAATCCTAAACCTTTACAAAATGTTTATATATTCGGAGATTGAATTTTCAATATTTTGAAGTCTAAGAATACTTTTCCGGATGAAAAGCCTCAGAAATATTCACGAATTGTATTATTTTTAAATTAAGATTTAAATAACAAAGACGAAAAAACTTATGATCTGGTTTAGAATTGGTTTAAAAATAGACTCTAGAAATATTTTCAAATAAACCAGCTTCATTTGTAGGTTTATTGTGCAACATATATTTATGTCGAGGTTCACTTGAAATTACTTCTACAGCCCCTTAAATACATTAGTTTCAAAACTAACACCACTCAGTGTTAGAAATGGGCCAAATGATAGTTTTGGAACTAATATCCCCTTAAATAGCATTAAATACAAAAAAACGTTTCAGTTAACTTTTCGACAAAAAAAAATGACCAAAGGTTTAAACTATTAAATCTCATGTCACATTGAATATAATACTGAAGCTGATTTTGAACAGCTTGAGCTTTAAATCCCAAGTGAACATTACCCATGTTAAAGGGAGTGTTCGCGAAAAATGAATATTAATTTCTAATTTAATCTAATTATTTACGATCTGAGTGGAATATTGCAACACCGTGAATTTGTATGTTTCCTACGTTCTTCGGTATGAGACGTTTTTAACCCTTGTCTCCACATTTAAGCAACAGATAAAAGTAAAATGAGTAGAGATTGATATCGAATTAAATTCGATATTAGCCTAAACCCCTTTCATTTATAGCGAACACTCCCTTTAACGAAAACGTTTTGTTGGCATGAACTCCAACCTGAGAAAAAGATGCTGAGCTGGGAACCCAAGTTCAAAAGTATGAGGATGGGAACACACTTGATGGAGATTTCAACACGTGGAGTTCACATGGTGAAAGGTTTTAAACCAGATGGAGGTATCTGTTCAATATTACGATTTTTTAATTCTGCTAAAGAAAGAATCCATCAAAAACTCGTATCGAATGTTTTAAAACTTTAAACGAATTAAATAAAACTATGATACAGGGTGTCCCAAAAAACATGGGAATTCAGTGACGAATTCGATATCGTCTTTGTTATGAATTAGCATTGTAATTCCTAATTTCAAAAGCAATAATATTATTATGTCTGCTAGAGTTTATTTTATGAAAACGGTAAAAGACTGTAAAGATGTGTCTATAATGTCTCCGCAAGATGAACAGTGAAGACGGACAAGTTTACTCTGTTTGTATACTGCAATTTTCTTGTTTTACTAAGTACAACCGTATGCAGTCAAAACATAAACAAACAAATTGTAAACATAGCAAACAAAACTCTTACAGATTACAGCTTTCTCATTAGGTATCACTATACTAAATCAAAGAATTATTTAAAAAGACGATATCGAATTCGTCACTGAATTTCCATGTTTTTTTGGGACACCCTGTATAATCTAATAAATTGCTGACATACATATCGAACCTTTTTGATGAATTTTTGGAAAAATTATTTTTTATTGTTACATGCATAAAGAACACATGTATCCCCAAAGAGAATTCAATGATATGCATGGGGAACAGATATAGATACAATTCGGCCAGGTCTGCCGCTTTAGTGTAATTATAAATTGCGGTACAGTCCAAACTAGAGGTGAGATTTTAAAAGCTTAAACCCGAGTAAAACCCAGCTTATTTGAAGACTCAAGCTTTAGTAAAACCCAAGTCAGGATTGATTCTGATTCTACCAATGAGAGAGACTGCATTGAAAACTTTCTCTTCATAGCAGACCGATCAGGTTTGAGAAGGTTCCAGTTTACAGCAGTAAATTTAGAAAATTCAAACTTTGGATTGGAAAGGTTGGCCAAGCTCGAATATTCAAATATATACCGGTTGTTCTTGAATTGCTCTAAACTTCAGGGTTTTTTATTTAACTTGCAAAGGAACAAGACACTTGGCAGAGATTTAATTTTTAAATCCACATATCTTTGCGAGCTGATGGCGTAAACATTAGATTTTTCAAATTTTTTCTTTTTTTGATCTTACAGAATTTATAGTTTATCATCTTATGCAGACAGAATTAATTTAATTCCTCTTCAAATTCTCATGATGGTCATACCCTGCAGGGAACAAGCATTAATCATAATTTAAAAAGTGGCCACATTGGATTTCGAGATCAAGCATTCAAATTCAACTATAGTTGCAAAGTTATAAGAATGCATAAATTAGAGTTTGTGGCAAGTATTCAGTTCCTTTGTTGATTAGATATAATTACACTTTTTACATTCTAGTTTATCTTTCTTACCCCTCCCTTCCTCCCCCCTCCTGCTGTATCCTAATTGTAAAGGTTTAAAGTATAAAGTATAATTATAAAGTTTCTAAATAGAAACATCTGGAGCTTGATAAACTAACTACTTCTTAAATATTTATTTATTCTATATTCATTACCAAGAACTTCTAATTAAAAAAAATATATTTTGCTCTAGTTGCGTATGGAGGCAGTACACGTTTGACCTGTACGGGGGAACTACAATTCTTAGATAAAACTAGAACAATTCAAAACAAACAAATCCACCAGAAATGAGATTAATTCAAAACAAACAAATCCACCAGAAATAGGATTAATTCAAAACAAAGAAATCTATCAGAAATAAGGTTAATTAAACAAACAAATCCACTAGGAAAACTCTAGTTTTTTTTTATATATGAGTATGACACATTTAATTTCTATTTAAAAACATTTATCAATGTAATCCTTAGCATTTTCAGATAAGATAAATAAGCAAAAAAGATAAATCTTCCAAAATGCGATGTTTCTTTTTTATTTCTGTTTTAAATCGTTTTTCTGGGTTGATTTATTTGTTGCAATAAAATATTTAATATTGAAATTCATAAAAGTTTTGCTTTTGAATAAATTTATAGATTTGAATTGAACATTTTAAAACCGTTTTTTTATGATTATGATTTAATCATTTATGACTTAATCATTGCAATCATTGATCCTGGGGGGTTTAAATAATATTTTATGTCTAATTGTCAGGATAAAAAGGTAATTGAATTCAGCTCTTGTCTTCATTTGAAAGCTGCCAAACGTACCATACCATGATTGGTTTAGATCGTACCATACCATGATTGGTTTAGATCGTACCATACCATGATTGGTTTAGATCGTCACGAAAATCAAGGATACAGTTCAGATTGATTGGGGGAGAAGTTTCAATAAAACTTGACTTGATCAAATTAACGTGTAGAGGCCACAAAGCAATTTCAGGTCGTTTGGATTGGCATGCTAGTTCTGTAAGTTTAGGTATCTTTAGTGGGATAAAAGACGATATGGCACCAAGGTCTAAAGTTAGACATAACTGTAGTTTTAGGGCTTTATTAAGTTTATTTAGATTTTTTTTTCTGGATTTACTTTTCGAACCGTAAAGGGGAATTCTGAGACTTTATTTTATCATTTACGGTTTAAAAAATACGCAAAATACTAAGATAAACAACGGTTACGCTTGACGTTTTACCTAAAAAATGCACTGGATTTCTAAAATTTCTTAAAAATGAATTTTTTACTCAAGAAAAGTTTATTCACCTTGATCGATTTAAGTTTTTGTAAATTTTACCAACCTTTAACTTTCTTAAAATACGCACTAAATTTAATCAAGTTTAAAACCAAATTTGTACGAAGCCAATTGAATTTCTAAAATAGCAAGTTTATCAAATTTAGCGGGCACTCCTTCTCAAATAAATGTCAACGCTCAGTGACGTCATACATTATTCCTTCAAATTTAGAAACATTGAAAATTTCAAATATTAATTCAAGACTTCAGTAATATTCATTTTTGTCAGATTTATCATTATTATTATCACTACCTCACTCACTCTCTCTTAAAATTAAAAAAATGTTTAAGTCTAATAAGACGATTTATTCTATATACGTTAATTCAACATCAGTTCTACGTCTAAATACTGATACTATTATTTCCCTTTTATAATACGTAAAATGTTTGTCAAATGAAGGCCAAAGTAAGTAAGATTAGAACCATTAGAAAAGGCCAAATTTGATAAATTAGAAGGATTAAATTTAACTTAAGATGTTCTTCGCATAATTAGAACTCTAATATTTGTCTTTAAATAAGTTTACTGTGAATCTGCAAGTTTCAAATTAACATTTAATTTTATCTGGATCACCCTTACACACTAGTATTCACTATATACTGATGTATGTAAAGTAATCCTCGAAGAAAATTAATTAATCATCCATCTGCTAATTAATATAATGATAGGAACACTAATTACATGGAAGAAGATGTAAACAATATAACACAGGAATAGTAGAACTATTATAAATATATTTTTCTGGAAGATTTTTTGAAAATATAATTCGAGGACGAGCTCGGGTGATTTGTAAGCCATTTTAACAACAAGGCTACAGAACCTTGTTTTATGTACATTAACAACTCAACAAAATTATACAATTAAAGAACTTATTCATTAACTTGGAGTCCGAAATATTTTTGGTTCAAACTTCACTATGCTAATGTCTGCAAGTTTCCCAAGAAAAGAAGACGAACATTACCATACCGAAGTTTAAAAAAAGAGAAAGCTAAATAATACAATTAGTCCGCAGATAACACAGTTACTTCGATACTTGACCAAACCATTTAAAATTTAACCGGGCCTGGCCCATCGTACCAAATTTTCCTATCTGTGTATTCTATGACAGTACATGTTCCGTAATTTTGTATTCTCTCTATAAAATATTTCAGACTCCTTACATTGTACACTGTGTAGACTATGGGATTCTATAGATAGCTTATGTTTATGGAAATATCAAAGTATTGAATACTAAAAGGTTTAAGATTCACGCAGAGATAAATACAGGTATTGGAACTTTAAAAAATCAACTGTCATCCCTCAGATCACTGTAAAAATTGACATGTTTTTGGCTTCAGGGAGAAATCGAGCCGGTTCATAAATTGTTAATTTAAAAAACCATTAAATGGTATTGTTAAATTATTAAAAATCATTAGTGGAACTTTAAATAGTTTGTTTCTAATATGAGTAATACTGAATTAATGACAATTACAGATAATTTCTTAATCTTGGCATATTTATCCATCGTCAATACTAGTTTCCTATCTAAAACATGAAGGGTAGGAAGGATATTTACGACGTAACATATAAATCTATGAGAGGATTTGAAGAGTAACTGTTCCTTCACAGTTCTTCAGTATTTCCACCGCGTGCTGATGGGTCAACCCTTGCAGCTCTGTTCCATTCACGCTCAGAATCTGATCCCCACGCTTTAACTCGCCGTGCTCGGCGGCCGCTCCCTTCTCAAACACGGTCTTCACAAAAATCGGCATATCGCCGTGGGGAGAACCAAAACCGCCGACAATAGAGAAACCGAGATTGTTCTGACCTCTGAAACAAATAATATAATAATCTATATATAAATTTGGCTTGTCTGTCTGTTTGTATCCAATAAACGTCAAAACGGCTGAACCGATCAGGCCCAATTTTTTTGTGGGACATCACGTGACCACAGGGAAGGTTTATGAATGAAAAAAAATGTGTTTTAAAGGTTTTTAATTTTGTAAAAAAATTTAAATTCTTGAAAATCCGCGAATTTTTTTTTAAAAATCCGCAAAATTTTTTTCTTCTCTGTTTTATTATGTAAACAAAACGAACATGTTCACAATTTAAATAGAAGATGGGCGCGAAGCGCCCTAAAAGCCTAGTATAATAATATAATAATATGTCCGATTCACAACAACACCCATTAAAACTTAAATCTAATCAAGGGTGAATCATGTATCCACGTTCTTTTAAAAAATCTATTGTTTCTAATTGGTTTCTTTTTTACAAAAATGAATGGCGGATCTCTTCTTTAGAAACAATTGAGTAAATTGACATAATTAACCATTTTTCAATTTAAAAAATGACCTTATTTCTCACATTATTGATTAGAATAAAATTTAAAAGATATCATTGAGAATCGGCAATGCCCCTCAAATTTTTTAAAATTAGTTTTATTATAATACTAGCTGAAGGGCCCGGCGTTGCCCGTGAAAAAATCGATTTTTAGCCTATAACACCCAGAAGTGTCCAAAAAAAATGTCAGCTCAATTAGTCCAGCCGTTTGGCCGGCTATACGCAACAAATATATATATGCGAATGTATTGTTTTATTATATAGATTGATTAAAATAATTAAAATATTTATCAAATTTAAATATTATTTGAAATGATAAAAATCTGCCTACCTAATCAGAGATATAGTTTTCGGGGTCCCAGTAGTGACAACATTCGGGGGGAGGGACTGATCCCCTCCTATCCTCTTCTCACGGTTTCCAACCTAAACCAGATATCCCATTAAAAATCCTTGTTTTTTAAACTGTTTTTATTTTTTTATTTATTAATTTATTCAATTTGTACTAAATGCGTTTGATTTGATCATCAAATTATGTTAGAATTTGTAACAAATAGATAAAACAGTGTTGATTAAGGAATTAGTCAACATCGGTTCAATTAAGATAAGTTTAAAAAAAGTGCAACTATACCAAAGAAAACAGGATGACTGTAGATTTAAAAACACTTTCTCAACGCAAAAAAAAATCACAAGAAAGGAATATTAATTTATGTGCTTAACATTCGGGTGTAAGTAAAACATGGCACTTATATAAGAGATAAAATAGTTCTATACTGGTTTTAAGCTAGTATTTCCTAATATGTACTTAAACAAAATTTACTGAAAACCCAAACTCATCACTCTACTAAAACAGTGAGCAATCTCAGAACAAGCATTTCTACACAAATACAAGGAAAATTTATTTCAAAAGAGTTTTCAGAAAATTATATTAGGAGATTTATAATCTATCATGAATATTACGATCAAAGAAAGGATGAATGTAAGAATGAATGTAGTACTAAATCCAAAGTATCATGAATGAAAAAGTTATCCGATAATACTAAATACATTCAATCCATAATAGTCCATATAATCATGAATGAATATAATCCAGTATTAAGTCCATAGCATCTTGTATTACTAAGTCCATATAATCATGAATGAATATAATCCAGTATTAAGTCCATAGCATCTTGTATTACTAAGTCCATATAATCATGAATGAATATAATCCAGTATTATTAGGTCCATAGCATCTTGTATAACTAAATCCATATAATATTGAATGAATGTAATCCAGTATTTTTAGGTCCATAGCATCTTGTATAACTAAATCCATATAATAATGAATGAATATAATCCAGTATTACAAGTCCATAGCATCTTGTATTACTAAATCCATTTAATCATGAATGAATATAATCCAGTATTATTAGGTCCATAGCATCCTGAATAGAATATAATCTTGTATTACAAACTCCATGGTTTCATGAATGAACCTAACACGGTATACTCGTTAAAGCATGCTTTATACACAGTCTAATCCATCAAATGTTTGAGTAATATCTTAAGATATCTCAAGGGAATTAACCAGTGGTATAAATATATTTTCAGAAAAAAAAAAATCCTCCCAACCCAATGAAAATTCTTCTTCCCAACCTCCTTTTATTATTAACTAGTAACCCCAAAAGCATGCAAAGTATATAAAAAAAACCTCTGCGGGGTTGAAAAACATGAATTATAAAAAGATTCAGATACCAGTCTTTACAAAATATATTTTCATAAAGTAGGATTTCTACAGTTTGAACCCAGATTTCCATGTATTGCATCAATAAGAATGAGAATATATTATCTTAAATTTTGTCAAGATTACTTTAAAAATTGGATTTCTACAGTTTGAACCCGGATTTCCATGTGAAAAGTATATTATATTAGTTTTAGTCAAGAATAAGACCAAACTACCAACTCTTTTTGATCCATACTAAAAATGTAGATTGTAGATAAATATAAAATACCTTTAATCTTCGAACACACATAATAATCTTTCCTTGGGCCATCTTCAGAACAGGGGCTGCCTCCTCCTATATCAATGTAAATATACTTTACTGTGGTTAGTACAGAATTTTTTTTTAAAAGTTCATAGTCTGACGCGAAAATTTACAAAGATCATTTAGCTAAAAAAAGATTGGGATGGAAAGGTTCAACCAAGAATGGAGACCTGGCAACACTTCAAAGCAGTGCTTAGGATCCGGATCCGTTGGATCCACAAGATTTTGGCTTACTGGATCCGGATCCGGAGAAATATGCGGATCCATGGATCCGGATCCAAGGGGTAAAATATCAACCAAAAACTGCATAAGAAAACTTTTTTACTCCTATAACCCAAATCAAAACTTTTGAAAAAAGAGAGATTATAAAAATTTCCTCATTTCTGCATGGTTCATCAAGTTTTAGGATAAAAATAAAACAAAAAATTTGAAAATTATTTGTTGTTAAAAAAATTCAGCAAATCTTAAAGAAATGATCTGGATGGATTTGGATCCGGATCCATTTTTTTCCAGTGCGGATCCAGGATCCGCATCAAAATTAAATAGATTCTAAGCACTGCTTCAAAGTCTGTCCAGTCTCGTTGGTAGACGTGTAACTACCAAAACTGTAAAGATGTGTGTCCTCGATATTATTTTAGTTAAACATATTATTCTGCAGGCGTATTGCGTAAACTTTAACATATTTGAAGAAAATAATACCTGTGACGCGTTTTTAAGATCCTGTCCATTCACAGAAATAATCTGATCACCCTGAACAAACAAACAATAGATAAAGGAAAACTGCTTGAATGCCATGAAGTATCTTTCATGGATCTTCATGGGTATATCCTAAGAGCACTTAAAACAGAAGGCAGTGCTAGAAAGGAAGAAAAGAAGAATAGAAGAATAGAGGAGAAAATGGAGAAGAAAAAGGAGAAGAAAAGAAAAAAGAAAGAGAAGTAAGGACCGAAAGTAGAGGAAAAAATAGAATAGAAGAATAGAACGAAAAGCAGGGTGAAAAAATCGAAAAAGGGGATAGCATTGAAAAATAAAACGAGAAGTAGGGAGAGGAGAGAATAGACATGAAATAATAGAATAGAAGAATAGAACGAGTAGGGAGGGAGGAGAATAGACATGAAATAATAGAAGAATAGAACAAGTAGGAAGGAGAATAGACATGAAATAATAGAATAGAAGAATAGAACGTGGGGAGGGAGGGGAATGGACATGAAATAATAGAATAGAAGAATAGAACGAGTAGGGAGGGAGGAGAATAGACATGAAATAATAGAAGAATAGAACAAGTAGGAAGGAGAATAGACATGAAATAATAGAATAGAAGAATAGAACAAGTGGGGAGGGAGGGGAATGGACATGAAATAATAGAATAGAAGAATAGAACGAGTGGGAAGGAGGAAAATAGACATTAAAATAATAGAATAGAAGAATAGAACGAGTAGGGAAGGTGGAGAATAGATCTGAAATAATAGAATATAAGAATAGAGCGAGTACGAAGGGAGGAGAATAGACATGAGATAATAGAATAGAAGAATAGAACGAGTAGGGAGGGGGGAGAATAGAAATGAAATAATAGAATAGAAGAATAGAACGAGTAGGGAAGGTTGAAAATAGACATGAAATAATAGAATAGAAGAATAGAACGAGTAGGGAGGGAGGAGAATAGACATGAAATAATAGAATAGAAGAAAAGAACGAGTAGGGAAGGTGGAGAATAAACATGAAATAATAGAATAGAAGAATAGAACGAGTAGAGAAGGAGGAGAATAGACATGAGATAATAGAATAGAAGAATAGAACGAGTGGGAAGGAGGAAAATAGACATTAAAATAAAAGAATAGAAGAATAGAACGAGTAGGGAAGGTGAAGAATAGATCTGAAATAATAGAATAGAAGAATAGAACTAGTAGGGAAGGAGGAGAATAGACACGAAATAATAGAATAGAAGAATAGAACGAGGAGTAGGGAGGGAGGAGAATAGACAGGAAATTTGAATTTATAGTAAAGGAAGAAGAAAGAAAAAGGAAATTATGTTTAAGATTTTAGGGGATTAAAGAGGAAATCGAAATATTTCTAAATATTTGTGAAACTTTAATCATAAAATGGGTTAAAAAGAAGCAGATTAAAGAAAAGGGGAATAAAATATGAAAAAATATACAAGACAATTGACTTTCTATGTAAAGATTAAAAATATAATATTTAGTAAAATCTAAAATCCATCATATTTGATACTTATCAAGCAAATATAAATATTTGCAAGATGTTTAAATTTTCAAGAGTTTCTCGCATNGGGTTGAGCTAACCTGAACGAGTCTACCATCAACATCAGCAGCTCCTCCCTTCACCACCTCGGAAATAAAGACCCCGGGGCCACTCTTCTTCCCGACAATACTGAGGCCAAGTCCTCGTTCCCTCTTCTTGATGAGCTCGACCTCGAGGCTCTCGTATATCTCGTCGTCCTCACGGTGGATCACCAGACGAACCTCAAAATAAATATTTTCTAACTCTGTTGTCCAATGTATACAAATTCAAAGTAAAAAAAATCCGTGAATTTCACTACGATTCTGGGTTTCTGCAGTTTTTGTTTTTAAATAACTAAAAACATCGTTTCAGGTCTTCCAACTGCCGAAAAAATATGCGTTCCTAATCTCAAAAATGTGGGTATTTAATCTATTTTAATTTCAAATTTCTTTGCATTGTTTAAGTGAAAATAAAATAAAATGTTAATATTTTCGTTAACAAATGATAGTATGAGTTAGCTGTATTCACAAGATGTGAGTCATCATTCTAAATTATTTAGGAATAGTAGGAATAGTAGCTTGATACGTAAAGAAAGTTTGGAGAAAATTCAAACGCCCTGTTAGACTGTTGATACGTTTGGTTAAAGGGATTGTAAGCGTAATTTCAAGTGACCCTCCATGCAAAGATAGCATTGTCTGATTCACAATGGTACTCTAGATTTCCATGTTTTTGTTTATTTAAACTGATATTTTCTATGGCGGTTTCTCTGGAAAAGATCGACTTGCGCATTTATTGCTTATAAGAAATAATGGAGAAATTATTGGAGTTAAACATTTTTCCTCGTCAAATGAAAACTGCAGATCAGCTAAAAAACATCGCAAAAGTCAGAGAAAATTCAATGCACTTTTTAAAATTTTGTTAAAAAATTTTAATTAAAAAAAATAAATTGGAGTTATTTTTTTTTCGTCAGAAAAGTGACGCTTTCTTCTACATTTTGAATTTTAAAAAAATCCATCGTACTTAGTTTAAAAACTGTAAGCGTAATTTCAAGTGAACCTCCATGCAAAGTTGGCAATGCCCGATTCACAACGGTACCATTGAAACTTTTATCTGATCAATACTGTTGAAAATATTGTCAAGATATTTTCTGGATAAAAAGTGTTTTCATTCTGATAACTATTAGATATTTTCCTGATGGAGAAATGCGCAACTCACTTCTGTAGAGAAACCACAATTGAAAATAAATAGTTTTAACAGGGGCGTACTGGGAGAGGCCTAGAACCCTGTGTACCCACTAAACATGTCCCCGAGACCTTTTATATTATACATATTTTTTTCATTTCAATTGACAATTTGTCCATTTTAAGATAATTTTTCAAATTATTTCAATTTTCTTATTTACAATTTTTTCAAAATTATTATCATTGATATCTAAGTCATACTTGATTAGATAAAGCTTTTAAGGGTACTATCCCAAATCGGGAGTTGGAATCTTTTCATGGAGGGTCACTTGAAATTACGCATACAGTCCCTTTAAGGAATCAAATTCTACACAGTTAAACATATATGATATGGAATCCTCCGAACTATTATCTGGTTATTACTGTTATATATATATACAGGGTGCAGGGTGAGAACCAAGTTTTAAATAGTTCCTTTCTAAGAATAGGGCAACATGGCTTGTCTATGATGACATTAAAAAGGGGGGGGGGGGGGGTTCTTCATTTTATCCTGAAATTATATTTTTCCCCAGATAGGGGAACATTCATTGTATAAAAAACAATGAATAAATATTGTTAAAAGTTTGTGAGATCTTAACACTTCAATTATTCTAATGACTCTGTTTTCTACTCTATCAAAATAAATTTCTTTTTCACATGCATAACATGCTCCAAGTTCTACCATAACTTGTAAAGTGTCAGAGCAAATGGTTGCCTATTTTAAAAATGACCAGTGTCCGAATTTAATGAATTTGAGCCGCGTCTTAAATCCGCCAAAAACCGGTTTCAATTAAGCACCGGCTTAAATCTTCAAACACTTAGTTCAAAAGTTTCACAAGAAGTTCAAACGTTCTTTATCTATTTAAAAAAAGTATTTTAGCCCTGGGACTTCAACGATATCAAATTCCCATGTGCCCCCTCCTGAACATGTGACCCCTCCTGAATTCATCCCTGTAGGCTATCAATGTCTAGAACTCATTTTAATCCCATCTTTGTCTGGATCTTGTCTAATATTTTATTCATACTAATCATTTTCCAATCCTAGTATCTTATCTTCTTATATATTACTCGACACGTGATCAGTTTTTATGCTCTAAATAATGCTAAGTTTTTCTGAAGCAGAGCCGAGAGTTATTGCTTGAAACTAAGACTAAGTTCCATTTTCCCAAATTCTTCAAGGATTGTAAAAATGATTGAAATTATTGATATTAAATCAATTATTGACTAAACCATCATACACTCCCACCTTACAAGAGCTGAGCTGAAAACTTTAGAAAGAGATATCCTTAATCAAGATCGCTTAATCTTAATATCTAATGTACACACTTTTGATTATCTTTTTTGATATTTCTACTGTATAAGAGTTACGTTTGATAACAATTACAGATACAATGCTATATCGATTGGAATATAATATCCGATTGAATTAAAGTCAGCTGTTCACAAGCCGGCTTTTAGAGCATTTCGACAAATATAATCATGTTAATATGAAATTATTAAAAAAAATATTTTAGGACTATTGTCATTTTTAACGTTTAAAGTCTTAATAAACATTAATCCAAAACTTACGTTCGTTCAATCGATGTTTAGTTCAATTGATATGACACCATCAACACCAGAAATCAAAACCGGGTTTTCAAACGTTAAAGAGTACATCTTAACATGACACGCTGATTGGTTAAATTTTTAACTTCTTTCTTGGATATCGAATGCGTTTTAATATAATCTTGGGTTTAGTAAAACCAGGAGTTTAAGCATTAATCTTGATATCCACCATTCTAAAGTTTTCAGCTCTGATTCAGTCAGGTACTCCAATAACAATGAGATCATAGTTTATCAAACTTAGAACGTAACAATTTCCTTAATTTTCTCTGTAGCATAGATTCTAAAAAAACAAGCAAACCAACCATGCCATCATTCTGTAGAAGTCAAGGCTCAGCCTCCGTCAAAAATTATCGTATGTCACTTTTGTGAAGAAACTCGGCGAGAAAAAGAAGAAAATCTCATTTATCCTTCATCATACAAATATTTAACAAGTACCGTTGCAGTCCCTTTTAAACTGAAATGGCACTCAAGAAGAGGCAATTTATATTTATTTTAAACAGTTAAGCTTGGAATAGTGATCTGAGCTTAAACAATTGATCACAAACTCCGGGATCCTCTGTATTGTCTGAATACATCATGTTTAAGTCTGGACCTGTTCTTAAACCCCGCAATACACTAGAGTGACAAGTACTGTCCAATATATCAATCTGACTACAGGGGGTCCAGGTTTTAATAACACATAAAAATAATAAAACTCCTATTTTTGCATTTGGATTTTCCACTAATATGAACTCTCTAAGGAATGAAAGAATTAAATGAGACTTAATTCTTCCACCCCCTGTAGTTGATAGATTCTAGAGGTTCTATAATCCACTCTGTTCTTTGTAGAAATCTTCTTACAATTCAGCCAGATCGTTCGTTCATATTCATTTTCTCATCCTCAATCTTTACATTTGTTAATTTTCCTTCTAGTGGTATACAATTTTATCTGTGTGTATGTGTGTATGTCACAATGGGGAAAACTACCTGGTAGGAGGGGGACATAACGTTTTTTAAACAAACTTATCTCTTGTAAAATGTCCAGGGGCTTATTCAAGAATTNTTCAGCACCATTTTGGCCCAAAATGCCCCTGAAACCATAGATTTTACTGATCCGGGGGAGGGGCTGAGCCTCCAAAGCCCTTCCTCTGGCTATGCACTGTTCTTTTGAATAAAATAATGTCTCCGTAAATCTCTATGGTTGGGGGGTTACGTGAATACTCAATGGTTCTCTTCTACTATCTTTACTTTTGTCAAGATTTTACAGAATTCTTCTTTGAAACTCCACACTTTAGCTCCTTTACCAGAGTTAAGAGAATATAATACACTAGAAAACAAATCAAAAATGTAATTTAATTTTATCTATCTATCTATCTATCTATCTATCTATCTATCTATCTATCTATCTATCTATCTATCTATCTATCTATCTATCTATCTATCTATTTCTATCTATTCTATCTCATCTATCTCATCTATCTCATCTATCTATTCTATCTAATCTATCTAATTTTATTTATCTAATCAATCTATTTATCTACCTTGTTTGGTGTTTGTCTGAGTGCGTGTAGCGCAAAACTATGCGTAACATTTCTTAGATCTTCCTTCATCACTTCCAATATTTGATCTCCAGGGCGTAATCGTCTATCCTTGAATGCAGCTCCTAAAATTAAAATAAGTTATTTGATTAATTATGAAGATGCAAAAAAAACGTAAAAATATAAAGAAATGTTCTAAACGCGTGAAAAAGTTTAAGTTTTGGGGGATTCCGTGAGAAGTAATCCATATATGTGTATTGTGTAAACAAATATCATGGAAATACTCAAAAATTTAAAACTTAGTGACCTCTAGTTTATGATTTATGGCCTCAATTTAATTCAATTCAATTAATGAGGCTAGGGAGGTGTCCAATTAGGCTAATCATAATCATTTATTACAATTCTAAGGGAATTCGCTGAAAATCAAATTCAACTTCGTTAACATAGAATCTTGGACGTATATATGTTTAAGAGACCACAGAATTTTATGTAACCAATTTTGATAAAAAGAAGACATCAAATATCTTAAAAAATTTTGATTTCGAACACAAGAAATGATACAAATAAAAGATTCCTCAACCCCCCCCCCCCCTTTCTCTTTGGAATTATCTTTATGAAATCATATGAGGAAAGTTGATGACGTAATTGAAAATCCTTAATATTTATTTAAACACAGTTATATAAGTTACAAGCCGAGATAACTTTGAACAATGAATACAACCCCCCCCCCTTCCCTCCACTCTAACAACAAATTCTAAAGTTGAATTCCTCTTATTCCTCTGTTGAGTTTGAAGCCTAGTTTCCATCGCATTGAGACGGCCCAATGATCCATTGAGGTTTACAACCCTATTCAAACTATCTCAATTCTAGCTTAGTAACTCAAGCTTTATTTTATCTACAGAATCAGAATAGTCAGATTTTTCTAAATAGGTTTTAAGTTTTACAGAAGGGGTTTTTAGAAGCTTTACAACTGCAACCTTACAAAATAAACAAGATAAACTATTTTTTATACAGATTCAACTCAGATACTGATTTATCTAAATATTTGCTTTTAATATTGTGAATCTCTCTGAGAATGGAGATGGTGGGGCAACAAAGGTTTTTAATGAAATGTTAGATAAAGAAGATGGAAAGAATGCATTTAACCTAAGGTCATTTATCTCAAGTGTATTCAATCAATGCTTCAAGATATTTAACCTAAGATCATTTATCTCAAGTGTATTCAATCAATGCTTCAAGATATTTAACCTAGGGTCATTTATCTCAAGTGTATTCAATCAATGTTTACAAGATATTTAACCTAAGGTCCTTTATCTCAAGTGTATTCAATCAATGTTTACAGATATTTAACCTAGGGTCATTTATCTCAAGTGTATTCAATCAATGTTTACAAGATATTTAACCTAGGGTCATTTATCTCAAGTGTATTCAATCAATGTTTACAAGATATTTAACCTAAGGTCATTTATCTCGAGTGTATTCAATCAATGTTTACAAGATATTTAACCTAAGGTCATTTATCTCAAGTGTATTCAATCAATGCTTACAAGATAGAGAACACGTGTAAGAATGGAGCAAAAACCAGGTAAATTCAATTCTGGATTGTGGATGAAAAGAATAGAATTAGCTATGCCTGCCATGCAGTAATTCCTTAAAGTATAATTATATTGTAAAACTTTCAATGATTTGATATTTGTATCATAAAAAAAAAACTTTTCGTTCCATTCATAAAACTTTCATTATCAATAGTCATCAAATTAAGTAAACAAATTAATCTGAGCTTGGAACCGATTCAAATTGGTTTAAATGAGTTTAAATCTTTTATGAAATTGAAAAATAAGCTCAAAGAGGGACTGTAAGCGTACTTCAAGTGACCCTCCATGAAAAGATGACAATGCCCGATTCACAACGGTACTCTTAAAAGCTTTGTCTGGTCTAGTATGAACTAGATATCAATCACCATTTATTATTTTAAAAATTGATTATTTTTATTATGGTTTCTCTCCTAAGCGACTGGCGTTACTGCAGCAAAAAAACCCGTTAAATTATCGGAAATAAATAATCTTAAACCTAGAAAAACTACGTGAGCTCCAAGATAACAGATCTGATAAATGTTTCAAATGTATAATTTTGAACCGGGCTTTGTCATTTTTGCATGGAAAGTCCCTTGAAATTACGCTTACAGTCCCTTTAAATAAAAAATATTATACAACTGAATCGTTAATTCAAAATATCCCATCTCTGTAACATCTCTCTGAGCCAAGGTTGTATATAGGGTTAGATACTTTGGATGCGCTCCTATGTAGGTAAATGTCGTCTTTATTGAAATGGACACTCAAAATCCTCATATGACGTCATTGGTACTTAAACTAACAATCATCACAGTTAGCAAATATTGATTGTGCTAACAAGTTTGAAACAAAAAAATGAAATTCTAATTCAAGTTTTCAATTTTTGAGCTTATTTATATTTAGTGAGCGGCAAAATTTATTATTCTTTGAAATAAGCAGTGGCGTCATCTGAGGATTTAGCGTGTCCATTGCTATAAAGGGCGTTTTTACCTACATTGGAGCTCATCCAGAGTATCTTGCTATGAGCTGATCTTGAACCTTGAACAAGAAAATCTAGTCTGTTACCTGCTTCATACACCTCATGGATAAAGATTGCTCCAAGGAGTGTATCTGACCCTCCAACTATAGACAGACCGAGTCCCATAGGTTTCCCTTCCTCATCCTTGTCCTAGTAAAACAGAAATTCAGGTTTTAACCATTTCAAATATTTTTTATTCTTTTTTTTATTTTTATTTTTTATTTTTATTTAGTTTTTTATTCTTTACATAAAACAGGATAAAATATCATAATCCTCATTTTATTCTTTCTGTTTTTCTGAGGATCAGAGTAACTACATGTTGACAAAGTTTAAAGATACTGGAATGTTCGATTCAAAACTGTACCCGATAAAACTTAGTTTGACCAAGTATGGTTGAGATATCCTAATTTAAAAATCCTACAGAATGATTATGTCTGAAATCAAAGTGACTTAAGGATGAAATTGTAAGCTACTAAGATAATCAAAAAGGTGTCAAAATTCCAAGAATTCAACATATTTTAAATGATAAAATCGACGTTTTCTTACTCATTGCTACTCAGATAGGGGGGTTTAACGACGTGAATTCGAGTGGATAAATTAAATATAAATATATACCCCAAGATTTGTGTTAAGCATAAATTCCAATTGGCGGAAACCCTCTGATGTGATTCTAATTTGTTGGTCTATAAAACCAATCAACTGGCACAACTTGAGAATATAGGACCATAGGTCTTCTCTCTAACCCTTGAAAAGCGACAAATCTCTCTTCTACTCCAATCCTTTCAACAGTTCTAATCTATTAAGAACAAAATTTTAGTATAAAGGGACTATAGACGTAATTTCAAATGACCCTCTATACTGAAAGGGGTAAAAGGGGTAAAAATTAGGCAAATGTCGTCGTCTTCTATACTGACAAATGATAAATTCCTAATTTTCCAACTTAACAGAAAAACAAATTTAAAATAATCATTTTTCGGTGCAGAAAGATGGATATCTTTTTCATTCTTGATCGTTAAAGTTTTTTCCAATGGTAGCGCTGTGAACTGAATAGTGATCAGTTATACATTGGTTCGCTTATCAAACACATTACAGGTTTGTGGACATTTCAAAACTATATCCTGTACAAGTTTTGAATAATTAATTTAAAATATTTAAAAACTCAGATTTTTTGGTACCCTTTTTAAGCGCAAGTTATTGCCCGTCACTATTCACTAGGATTGAAAACTAAATCCCAATTTATAAATCCCTAAACCCTGAATCTAAACTAATGATCTCTACCTTGATGATCTCAATGACGGTATCATGTCCAGGAACTATCTCACAGGTTGTATGATCGATCTTATCCTTGGCTGGCGGAGGCGTTGCTTTTCCGCCGCCAGGAGATCGTCCGCCGTCCCGTTCTCCGCCTTTAGCAGCTCCTGAAAAAAGGATCGTTAATGCTACCATACCGTCCTAAATCCTTTATATTTAAAGATTCTCTCAAATGATGAATTAAAGGAAATATATGACAGAAGAGTTTGTTTTAAATCTTTCTGACAAACAATCTCAAGAACTGACGAGGGTCAACCCAGACCGAAATATATTTTCAATAAATGTGGAATTAACATCTACTTTTTTTACTCTACAAAGGTTTGGTTCTTCATCACAATTACCGTATTTTAAAAGAAGTGCTTTAAGAAGCTATAACATAACATTGACTAGCAACTTTTATGTTAACACTTTTACAGCACAAACGTATCCAATCAATGCACCAGGGTTTTTGACAAAATTAAGAACTGCCCCTTTTAAGACAATTTATTTACCAAGGTTTACTGGTTTAGGAGCAAGAACAGGTTTAGGCGGAAGCTTGGGCTTCTCTGGGCTCTCAACCCTAGTCTCTGGCAGGTTGGGGTTCGCTACAATAATCTTGATTTCTCCATCAGTTTTCTTCAAAACTTTAGCAGCGGTTTCATAGCTGGCTCCGACAAAATCCTCTCCGTTGACGGAGAGAATCATGTCTCCGACGAGTAATCCAGCAGAGTCGGCAACACTACCATCTTGAAGATCGGATATAAAAACTCCAGTTCCTGCTTCCGGATGCTTTCCTTCAATAATCATGATTCCAAGTCCGGTTTCTCCTTTCTTGAGAGTAACCTGTCTCAATCCCTTGTACTTCCTGTATCTGTCAATAGGGTTCTCCTCAAGTGTTGTGGGGAACTGGATCACGGGTTTAGCTCCCAGGTTCTCCAGGGGATCATCCTTCCTCAGGACTACGAATGTAACTCCGGCGTCCGGAAGATTTTTAATGACAGAACTTGCGTTGAGATGAGATCTGTGAAGAAGGACAATCCCGTTCACCTCCATAATAATATCTCCAACCTTCATCTTCCCGTCCCTGTACGCGTTTCCTTTAGGGTTAAGTCCTGCTACAATGACCGCCATTTTAAGACGATCCTTGTGTCCGGCCAGACTTATCCCTAAACCTTCAGTTCCTTTGTTTAACCGAATACAGTGGAGATCTCCGTGTTTACCATATTTACGATTTATCTTCTTCATAGTATATCCGTAATCGTCCTCATCCTCAGAATCGTTAATCGCTCGACCCAGGAATCCTGCCGAGGAACGATCAATCGTGATCCCATTGCTCAGGGTTTCCTGACCTTGTTGTTCCGCCTCATCAGAGTCGGTGGAAGAATCGGAGTCCGTTGATTCAGTTCTTCTGATCGGACCAATTCCAGGTACAACTAGCTCGGAACGGGGGCTGGCAACAGGTGGGTCGGACAGGGTCTGAGAAAAGCTCTCATTAGCAAACTCTTCTGGAGGAGAGAAATCTTCAGTGAGGAGTAGGGAGGGAGGAATAACATTCTCTTCTCCTCCTATAGTTCGATCAAGATCATTAAGAATTGTCTCAGCTTCCTTCTCAATATCATCCTGCTCGTTGATGGTGTCCTGAGATTCATTGAAACTGTCCTCAGTCCAAAGATTGAGGGATTGAACCACTAGATGGAGAGGGTTCCCAGATTGTCTAATCACCTCGACAGCTTTATCATGAGACGCATGTCGGATATCTACGTCTCCTACAGCAATGATCCTATCTCCAGTATTGAGTTGACCCGTAGCTGCAGCCGGAGAACCGTCCAGCACATTCTTTATAAAGATTCCTGTCAGCGCAGAGCTATCTGAACCCTCCGGAGCTTCAATCTTTCCTCCGACAATAGATATGCCTAAACCTTGGTTTGGAACACGCTGGATGATTATAGTTCTCTCCGGACCCCAGTGTTTAGAAGGAGATGAAGGAAAGTATTCATCTTTAGAAGATTGGCTGAGTTTAGATCTACCAAGACTTGGGGTTCTAGATTTTGGGAGATCAGGAGAGTTCATACGCTCGGAGAGGAGAGAGGTTCTAGGTGCAGCTTCCGGTGGACTTAAAGGACGTTTCTCTACGGGTTCAGGGTCTGTAGAACTTTCACTTACAGTCACATATTTTAGGCTTATCCTGTCCAACCCCTTCCCGGCAACAGATTCTGCAGAGGAGAATTCAATCTCAGGGGAGACAAGGGGAGCAGGTTTCATTTCAGATAACACTTGTGGAGTAGGTTTCATTTCTGGGGATACTGGCGGAGTAGGCTTCATATCAGCTGTTTCAATATGGGAGCTGATTGAGATAACGGTTGTTCCGTTGGACCGCTCCGAGACAGCACTAACTGTGGCAGTTGTTAGATCTGTGCCAGGAATGAGAGATCGCTCAACGGAGATTGATCTTGATCTCCTGGAATGTCCGGCCGTCTCTTCTTCGGCCACTCTCGTCAGCATAGTTGTCCTGAAGACCACGGCATCCTGGGCCGGAATATAGGTAATCGGCACCTGTCCACCCTGCGGTACCAGCTGGGTTCTCCGGAGAACCGCCAGAGCTTGGTTCTGAGATACTCCCCGCATATTCTCATTGTTTACGCTCACAAGATAATCTCCAGGTTGAATCCGCCCGTCCTTTGCCAGGGTTCCGCCCCTGGTCAGGGAACGGACAACCATTCCGTTCACTCCACCGTCTTCTATATCCACCTGGAGACCAAGAGTATCTCCGTCCTAACAAGAAAAAAATGTATAAAACGTAATTTGAAAAGAAAAAACTATTTCTAAGAACTGAAGATTATGCAGGACTAAGCCCTGAGCATAAAACTTGAAAACCAAAAGTCTAAAAAGTTTTCTGCTAATTTTTAATCTTGGAGCAAACCTTAATTATTTTAATCCTCTGTTCTAGAGCTGCGGGTAGAGGAGGGATATTATCTGCATCAGTCTTCTCCTCGTATCTTGTCTCAACCATGAGAGAACCCTTGGACGATCTTTCCTCAAACTTTGTCTCAAAAACCTTGCTCGTTCCACCAATCAACCTTTCCGTCGCAGGTAGAGCTATTCCCTGATAACAACCATTCATATAATTATTTGAACTGACTTTCACCGACCCCCCCCCCCGGCCTCCACCTTCCCCAGGAAAAGGATGAAATAGAGGGAAGGGGGGGGGGATTCTAAAGTATTTACTCTAGAGACGTTATCCTGAGTTGGTAAACTTTAATCTTTAAGAAAATACTAAATATGGAGAAAACAAAAACTAAGAAGAGTCTCCCCTGGGCGCAACAAAATTAGCAGGTCTGCAATCTTTTAATAATTAGGTTTGCGAGTTTATGCACTAATGCATAATTAATTAGCAGGGTTAAAACTTAATACTTTGAGTAGATAGAAATTCAGGCCCGTAGCCAGGGGGGGGTGCAAGGGTGCAGGTGCACCCCCCTTTCTTCTGAAAGAGGGGTGCAATGATGAATTTGCACCCCCCCCTTGTCCCATATAAAAGAAATTGTTTCTAAAATCTAGTTATAAATTATATAGCCCAAGTAAGAATTGATTTCCAAACCAAATTATAATCTATTTGTGCATTATACTCATTGAAAGTGTGACGGAGTTTTTGTGTACTCTCTCAACTCAACCCTTGAGTCATGTCTCTCCTGTGACCTATCGCAACTAACAGTTGATCAGTACACTCTGTTGATTAAATATAACACAACATCAAAATTTACTCATATTCATTTAATAGTTGTTTAAGTCTAATTAAAACAGTATGATTTATTAATTATATGCATAGAGTCCCATGTAAATGAAATGGTAATCTCCTGTAAACTTACAGACTTTTAGCCCCCCTCCCCCCGCCCCCTTGACCTGTGTGCTTTGTTTTATGAGTCTGTTTTTTTTGAGGCATTTCCATGGTGAGGGGTTTCCCCCTTGACCCTTGAAAAGCTTTTTTTTAAATGAATAAGAAATAAGATCATATCATTTTCATATTGCAAAGTCAAAGTAATAAATTATTACTTGACTCTGTTAGTTAAGCAGTACTCTCTTAAAAGCTCAAATAGACTAGTTAAAAAGGTTAGCCTTTATAGTGTGCATTGACAATGTAATAAAAACAACCATATACCACTGTAAAACCAAACCAAACATTGTTTAAAAAAATCATTAAAAACCCCCCCAAAAATTTTTTCGCCTGCAGCGCATCAGGTTGCACCCCCCCTGGTCAAATCCTGGCTACGGGCCTGAATAAATAATGCGTTAAGATTAGTTTTAATATGAGATGTTGTAAGGATTACAGTCTACAGAAATAACAGAGGGATCAGAGACGACATTTAGGAGGAGGATATGGGTTTCAGCCCCCTGGAGCATTGAAACATATTGTTTCAGGACCCAGCTTAAAATAAGTTAAGTCCTCAGTTCTGTGTTTGTAAGGATAGAATTAGATTAAGATTGAATTTTCCAACGTGTAACTTCTATGAAAGGTTTTCTTCTAATCTCTTTTCTGTTAAATATATCCTCTGAAGTTGCAGGATTGTAATCTAAAACCTTTCAAAAAGGAAATATCAACAGTCACGGAAAATAAGAAGGTCCAAACCAAGGAAGGAAAATTCTTAATCCTAAAAATTCCAGAAACGTAAACAATTAAATGCTTTAAATGACACGTCAGTAANCAAACCAAGCCACCTTATCCGACCAATCTTAGTTTCCTAACAGGGTTTAAGACAATTTAGAGAACAATGTTCTGAAGATTTATATTTATGTGAGGTTTCCTTTTGTTCCGCTCTAACCGGAGAGGATTGGTTCTCCGTATCCTCCGAAGGTAGCGGAGAAGTTGGGAGTGGAGGAGGTAGATCTGGGATCTCACTGGAGATACTTCCACGCCTATCCTTCTCTCCTAAACAAGAAAATTAAACACCTTTTATTTAAGAAAGATGAGCGGAGGATAGAAAAAAAGAATGTGCAATATTAAAGTACGTGTTGTCAAAGAAATGAACATTGTAATGAGCATAAAAAAATCATTATTCATTTTAAAATGATTACATGACAATGTTCCTAGTGAGCTGCATAAGAACTTTCCCCCCACTTCCCATCCAAAGCGTACCTGGATCCGTTTCAATATCTGATATTGCACTCTGAACCTCAGTATTATCCGTTGTATCCTCCTCTGTTGGACCTTCTCCGATCTGACTATCAGGTACAGGTAGAGGCTTAGCTACTCCTATCCTAACCTCTCCCTGGGGAGCTCCCTTCAGAGCCTGCACAGCAGTATCCAGGTTTGCGTTCTCTAGGGGGGTATCATTAACAAACATCAACCTGTCTCCGGGTATCAGGCGTCCATCCTGCTGAGCTACTCCGCCTGGAACCAGAGACCGGATAACAATAACGGTTTCGTGAGGGTTCAAGGGATCCTGGTAGTCCAGGATACTGAAACCCAATCCTCGTTCAGTTTTCTGCAGGGAGATGGTTAGAATGTCATCACTCCACATTGCTAGTCCTGGAAGACAAGTTTAATCAAATCCTTTGGAAAAAATTTAATTGCAGTCATACACAAATCAAATCAAATAAGACTTTTAGGGTTGTCCTGCATCCATTCTACAGTTTTAAGATGAAGTTTCAAAAGAATCTTACATAAGGCTGAAAAATCTTTATATTTGTTTCTAATTTAAAGCGTTGAGCAGGTTTTTATGGTACTTATTATCCCAAGGGTAAGTAAAATACTTTAAATACCTACCTGAAGGAATAAAAGTTAAAAGGTAGGTAATATTGTCAAAAGTAGTAATTCCAAGTTTAGGTGATACTTGACAAGAAAAGATATTTAGTTTGTTGAGTGTGGGGATTACCTGTGAGTGGTTCTAAGGATTTAGATTTAAGTCTTGACAGGACAGCCGAGTCAGTGGCAGAGCTAGATAGTGAACCATCAGACTTTGCTTTCACTAGACGCTCGGATACAGGGGTTAAACCTAATATATTATACAAGTTAACAAAGGGTGAAAGAAGAGAATTTAAGGATCCGAAAACATGCTGATGCTAGAGTTTCCGTTTTTTTCGGATCAATTTGAATCCGTTGGTTTCGGCCGAATTTTCTATGCTACCGGATTTAACTGTTGTGTTAGCAGTTGTTCCTGGTAAAAACTGCATATTCAAACATTAATTAGAATTGTGTTACGAATTGATTCAAATGCAAACACGATTTCTTATTACTTTATCAATTAATCATGTATGATCTAAAATCAATCGAGACCGCAAAATAATAAAATAATTTTGGTATAAATTATATATATAAATAAATCGGGAAATCGGGAATATAAGACACTTTTTAAAGAGAAAAATGCCTACGAAATCTAATTCAAAAAAGGTTGCATTATAAAGATGTCTTGAAGAGAAACAAAGACTAGAGTCCCCCCCCCTCTATTTATTTCTGTGCACAATGCACATTGTTGTTGGAGAATGTTAAAGGGTCGGTATATCGGTTTTATTGACAGATCAAATTCAATTTCAGAGAGTAGGACGGGCAGGTTCAATCAATCAAAGGGACTGTTCTCTATTTTGCTCAGGGAAGACAATATTATCTTTTATTGAAAAAATCGTATTAGCTCTTGGAGAATGTTTGAATCTAAAATTGTTTGGGGAAACTGAACATCCCTTTTATCCATATTAACAAGGAAGTACTCGCACAACATAATATAAATTAAAAAGATCTTAAACTTTTGCACCCAAGTTTAGTTTATATCTAAAATTAAAACAAAATATTATGATGAAAAATTTCAAGTAAATGACGAGTATTCCCATAATCCTTTTTCCTCTAATTAACTGTGAACTAACGATGCATAAATTAATGCACTCTGAATTAATTACCTAACAATATTTACTGCACTTTAATACTTAAATGCAAATAATTTCAGAAAACTGCATTTTTAAAATAATAATATTATTAAAACAAAAATAATAGTGTGGACAACAAATGCAAGCAAATGCAATGATATAAATTCTAAACATTTTTGTTCTTCTCAATAGCTCTTTAATATAAGAAGCTATGATTGAAAACATATAAGGTATCAAGCAGTTTCGTTAATGGTAATTTCTGTCTTTTAAAGTTAATGTTAGTTAACGATATCAATTTTATTAATGGCGTTAACGGAAATTTTTCAACAACCGTTAACGATACCATTATTGCAGAATTAACGTAATTTTTTTTTACAAGTTTCATGCAAAAAACGAAATTCATCGTTAATTTTTTTCTTAAAAAACGGCTAATCCGTTTCGTTAACGATTTAAAAATAACGGTTTTGCCGTAAGCGGAACTTATCCCAGCCCTAATCTTAAGTGCAATATACTTTAGTTTGACGTCAGGAGATTAAGACACGTAGATAGATAGATAGATAAATAGATAGATATCCAACTACATATTACCTGATACAGGGGCAGGAGAAGGAGTCGGAACAGGAGAAGGAGAAGGTTTATCCTCCTTCACCTTACTGCAAGGTCGCGCACAAACCAACCTCACGTCCATCGGTAATTCCTTCAAAATCGTCACCACGTCGGCGTGATAGAGTCCGAGGAGCTTCCGGCCGTTGACCTCCAGCAGCTCATCTCCACTCACTAGGTTCCCGTTCTGACCGACAGGCCCGTTGGGTAAAACTGATCTAGATAAACCAAAAATTAATACATATTTAATTATTTATTATTATCATCCAAGAATAAAATTAATAATTGTCAATTTTTTTGGTTTAATTATGCAATGGACATTCCAAAAATGTACAGTTTAATCCCGAACTTCGAAGATATTGAAAGAATTAATAAAATGTCGTCTTATCGGTTTATACTATTAAACCTAAACATCAGTAATAAATAGCTCCATATAATTATTTAATTAAAAACTAAAAATCTGCCGAATTCTATTATCCGTATGATTATAAAACGACATTTTATAAATTCTTTAGATACGTTTGAAGTTCTGGGTAAAACTGTGGTAAAACCAAAAAATTAGAATTTCTCCCGGAAACTTTATAAGCTCCATTCTTCAATCCTGATTTCAAGGATATATCATCCTTATATTAGAGTCTGGCGGTTCCGTTCTTTTTAGATTATCCTTCGTCAATAGCCATTGTAAGATCTGATATATCTATGGAAAAGATAAGAAAAATGTGACTTTATCGTGGAAATATCACTTCTTGATAAAGATGTCTTAAAACTGTGCATTAAAAATTACGGAGTAAAAATGATTCGATGAAAATATCCGTGATCCTTGATCAACGAAATGTTATCCATTTGAATCGGACATGCTACTCAAGCCTTGAAACAGTGGCTTCCCTCCCTTTCAATAAATATTCATTTCATCTGAGATAAATTATTTCTATAAAAGTTGTTCAATTGTTAGAAATAGAATCCTGAAAAGATTCGTTTTGCATCAATTTTTGCCATTTCCAACTTTGAAATCTTTTTTTAACATGTAACAATGCACAAACTTTGATTATACCCTTAAACTTTTTATTTGCCTCTAAAAACTTTTCTCCAGGGAAAAGAATTCTTAACACTGTTTGTTTCAATCCTCCCTTCCTTCCTCCCCTTTTTCAGTAATCCAATTTTGTGAAGTTAATCTTTCCAAATTCCTGGAAGTAGATGGGAGGGGGGGGGGGAGGGTTACAGAAGGGTAAGAACTGAGGAGTGAGGAGGATCTATAAATATTAACGTTGTTTACAAACAAAGCAAGAGAAAACACAAGCAAGAAATCTTTGTTTAAGAGGAAACATGATTAACGGATTTTTTCTACGTCAATTAATATAAATAACTTACAATTAAGTGTGCAGGACAAATAAAGACTAAAGAGTAGGAAAAATAAAGTGTCTAGGACAATACGTTTTCCCCTATCTGTAGGACAAATGGCATAGCGCCAAAAACATAAATAATAAAAAGGCAAAAAAATAAGTGGAATGTTATGTAAATACAAGTAAAAGTAAAAAGTGGTATTTAGAATTGAATTTGTTCGACCAAATAATAAAACTAAAAAGAAATTTCAAATCCGGGAAAATTACAAATCCCTGGAATTCCTTTCACCAAGTTAATTGTTCAGAAGATCAAACAATTCAATTTAATCCTTGGTGGAAAATATTTTCATTTCTAATCTGCGAACAAATAAAAGGATTTTATTTTATTTTATTTTCGAATAAAATTCTATTGAAAAATATTTTAATCTAAAAAATGTTATATTACAATCGACGTATAATATATCACAATAGTAAAATACATTTCTATCACCTATATTTCTTTAATTAGTACAATAATTAAGCTCTGTTGAGCTCTTAGCACCTTACTAGCTTAATGACACGACGTTATCTTATACATTTTTGATCAGATTAAGGTTTAAAGGGTACCGTTGTGAATCGGGCATGTCCCTCTTTTTAAATGAACGGTCACTTCTCACTATGACGAAAGTCAAGCTAGAAAATATTTGGATTAGTGGTTCCTAAAGAGATTACCACAAAAAACTTCCATGCCTAGTTAGTACCTGATATAATGATGAGGGTTCTGTTCTGCACCATCCACCTTCTCTACAGTACCCTCTAGACTTATCCCAAGACCTCCACCCTCCTTATACTTGGAGATTTGAGCAACAACTATCTCAAACTCAGGGCCAACTGAATTATCATCAATTGTCATTTAAAACATCGCTTGGGATGTGAACCCAACTTTACATGGATCTAAACTTTCTTTAAATAAGTCAATTCACTCAACTTAAAATGTTTAAACCAAGCTAAGAAAATCTCTTTAGTTCTACCGAGTTCTCCAGGCAAAATTTGAGGCAAATCGGTCATGACATTTTTGAGATGTAACCGGACATACAAACTGACAAACAGAGATGACTACTTTATAAATAGACGACTAGATAAGGAATCCAGAGTTGCCTGGAAACTAGAAGTTCTCTTTTAAAAGTCAGCCAACTCATTTCAGAATTTCTATACTAGGCTAAGCATATTTGACCGTGATTCCAACGAGTTACGGAATCAAAATTTTTTATTTGAGGCCAATTCGTCAAGGGGTCATTGAGTTATGATCGGACATACAAACTAACAAACATATGAACCCACAGAGATTACTGCTTTCTAGTAATGGATATTAATACAAAAATCGTTGAGAATCATTCTTCGGTTAGTGGTAAAAAACACAAGTTTGCAGAAAACCCTATTTTTTCTGTTAAAGTTGAAACAAAGAATAAAAGGTATTAATAATAAAAAATAAATCTTCTCACCAATTTTACTCCATTTCTTCATTATAGCATCAGTAACCTCAGCACTCAATTCTCCAGCATAATCCACACCAGCCTTTGCCTGAGCCTCCAGCACCTCTTTCGGAGGCGTAATATCCTCCGACAGCAGAGAATCCGTCCTTTTCGGAGGCGGAGGTTTATGTTTAGGGGACTTGTCGCTGACAGGGCTTCTTAAATCAAGTCTAAAAAAATTCCAGTTTTTAAAAAAGTTTCACTTTAGTATTGCGAATTGTGGGTTACTGTGAAAAAAAGAACAATTAAGTGTAATAAATTAGAGAAGTATGAAAACAGAACGAAATAAAATTGGATTTACTTTCAATGAATTTAGTTTTTAACTTAAGCTGTCATTAAGCTGCCACGCCACCTGTTAAAAATCATGTTATGAGTTAAATAAGTTCGAGGAACTGATTACTCGCCACAAACTCTGATTTTTATATCCATATAAATATATTTGAAACCTGATAGTGTAAACTGTACACCTTTGATATTTTAAAGGTTTGACTATCTGATCTTAATTTAAGGTCTTCGATTTCAGGCATATGTCTGGTAAAATTAGAGTTTGAGGCGAGTAATCATTTTCTTCATAATTATTATGATCTCCATGATCTAAATCGAAAATTGGATAAAAAATTGAAGGAAATCCATCAATGACTACTAACGTTTTCATTTTTAGCAAACATGAATTTTACGAAGATTTGTATCATACCCAAAACTGGCGGGGTTGGCAGTGGGAGTAGGAGCAGCACTGCTCGCTATTGCTTGCTGGAGCTGTTCAAACTTTAATCCGTGAACATATCTTATCAGCTTCAATCTAAACATATCCAATCAGCTTTGATCTAAACATATCTTACCAGCTTCAATCTAAACATATCATCTCTGCTTCAATCTAAACATATCTTATCAGCTTCAATCTAAACATATCTTATCAGCTTCAATCTAAACATATCTTATTACCTTCATTCTAAACATATCTAATCAGCTTAAATCTAAACATATCTTATCAGCTTCAATCGAAACATATCTTATCAGCTTCATTCTAAACATATCTTATCAGCTTCAATCTAAACATATCATATCAGCTTCGATCTAAAAATTTCTTACCAGCTTCAATCTAAACATATTTTAACAGTTTCAATCTAAACATATCTTATCAGCTTCAATCTAAACATATCTTATCAGCTTCAATCTAAACATATCTTATCAGCTTCAATCTAAACATATCTTATCTGCTTAAATCTAGATATATCTTATCAGCATCAATCTAAACATATCTTATCAGCTTCAATCTAAACATATCTTATTAGCTTCAATCTAAACATATCTTATCAGCTTCAATCTAAACATATCTAATCAGCTTTAATCTAAACATATCTTATCAGCATCAATCTAAACATATCTTATCTGCTTATATCGAAACATATCTTATTAGCTTCAATCTAAACATATCTTATTACCTTCATTCTAAACATATCTTATCAGCTTCAATCTTAACATATCTTATTAGCTTTAATCTAAACATATCTTATCAGCTTCAATCTAAACATATCTAATCAGCTTAAATCTAAACATATTTTTAAGCTTCAATCTAGAAATAACCTTTTTTTAATAACAACCGCTAAATGGACACTATTCTACACTACCCTACGCTAAAAATCCAGTTTTCAATAATAATACTTTCACAAACGGTGCCTACTATTTCTCTATTATGTATTACTAAAATAAATTGTAAACCCCTGCTCCCTTATACCTGACAACTGCTCCAGTTGCTCGAAGCATCTCCACTGCTTGTTGGTTGGTATATCCATGAAGGCTCTTTCCATCAACTTCAACAATCTGGTCGTTTACCTCCACCTGTCCAAGCCTAAATATGGTCCCGTAAGTTTCTTATGTTGTACTACTCATTTATTTTCATGTGTTTCTCGAGTAATTCTTCTGTGTTACTCACGTCTTTCTCTTGTGTTTCTAATTTGTTTCTCGTGTAATTACGAGTAATTATTGTGTGTTTCTCATGAGTTTCTCTGTTCTCATGTGTTTCTTATGTGTTAATCATGTGTTTCTTATGCGTTTCTCATGTGTTTTTTCGTGTGTTTCTCGTGCATTTCTCACGTGTTTCACATGTGTTACTCATGTGTTTCTTATGCATTTCTGATGTGCTTCTGATGTGTTTCTGATGTGTTTATCATGTTTTTCTCATGTGATACTCATTTTTTATCACGTGTTTTTTGTGTATCATGAATTGTTCCCTGAACGTATTGTTACATGCTCTGTGTTTCAGTTTCTAGTGTCATATTCATGTTCATATTTATCTCTATTTTCATGTTAATTTTTATATTGATGATATTTGTCCTTTAATATTTTTTTTATATGCAGTTTTATTTCAACTTCAAATGTTATTTCTGTTAACTTTTGTATTATATTTATGATAATGCTGTTACCTATCAGCGGCTGATCCCTCAGTGACAGATTTGACAAATATTCCAGAAAGTTCTTCACGTTCACACGTATAGCCAGCAATAGTTATTCCCAGTCCTAAATAATAACAATAGCAATAGCAATAGCAATAACAATAACAATAACAATAACAATAACAATAACAATAACAATAACAATAACAATAACAATAACAATAACAATAACAATAACAGTAACAATAACAATAACAATAACAATAACAATAACAATAACAATAACTGGCTAAATGAATACATGAATACATGAATACATGAATACATGAATACATGAATACGCGAATACATGAATACATGAATACATGAATACATGAATACACGAATACATTAATAAATAAATAAATGAATAGATGAATAGATGAATAGATGTAATAATGAATAGGTGAACAAATGAACAAATGAACAAATGAACAAATGAACAAATGAACAAATGGACAAATGAACAAATGAACAAATGAACAAATAAACAAATTAACAAATTAACAAATGAATAAATGAACTCATGAACAAAAGAATAAATGAACAAATTAACAAATGAATAAATGAACTAATGAACAAATGAACTAATGAACAAATGAACAAATGAATACATGAACAAATAAACAAATGAATAAATTAACAAATGACTAAAACTCAAAATAAAAATTAACCAGATTAATTAAAGGCGAAAAAGAATAACATACAGGGTGTCCCACATCATATTAGACCGAGAACGGGTCTAAATTACGATTTTCGGGACTAATTAGAAAATTTCATTAGAATGAATCATTTTGAAAAATAACATAAGGCTTATTTAAGAATTTTCTTGCGGAAAATGATAAGTTTTTCGAGTATTAAGGGTTTATTTTGGTGTTAAAGATTGGAGATAATCTAATATGATATGGGACGCTCTGTAAGTCAAGAAAAACAATTCAAAAAAGAACGCACGAAAGGCGAGGTCTAATTCGGATATTAATTCAAATTTGGTTTCGTGAGAAATTCTAAACTTATTACTGTATTCCATATAGATTCCAGAACAAACAATTTAACTAATTAATAAACTTTAATCTTGAAATTATATTATTAGCGTTGAATTGGCAAGTTTGAAGTTAACACGGAATGCATAATCTGTCATTATGAAAGTTTAAGGAAAGGAAACACAATAAAGATAATTTTATTTTTTTTTATATTTATGCATGTTTTCATCATAATGTCTATATTTACAAAGTAATGTTTTAATCTTACGTGCAGATTTTCAAGAGATTTCCATACTTTAATCCAGATGGTAATGTTAGATTTCCAAATGAAGTAAAGGGTAAATTTCCAATTTAAGTAACCAGAAGATTCCCATTTTAAGTAACCAGTAGATTTCCAAATTAAATAACGAGTAGATTTCCAAATTAGGTAAAGGGTAGATTTCCAAATCTAAGTAAAAGTAGATTTCCAAATGTAAGTAACGAGTAGATTTCCAAATTAGGTTAAGGGTAAATTTCCAAATTTAAGAAACGAGTAGATTTCCAAATTAAGTAAAGAATATATTTCCAAATTTAAGTAATGAGGAAATTTCCAAATTAAGTAATGAGTAAATTTCAAAATTAAGTGAAGAGTAGATTTACAAATGAAGTAAAGGGTAGATTTTAAATTAAGTAAAGGGTAGATTTCCAAATTAAGTAAAGGGAAGATTTCCAAATTATCTAGAGTAGATTTACAAATTAAGTAAAGAGTAGATTTCCAAATTAAGTAAATGGTAGATTTCCAAATTAAGTAAAGGGTAGATTTCCAAATTATGTTCAGGAAAAATGTCCAAATTAAGTTAAAGGTAGATTTCCAAACTGGGTTAAGAGAAGATTTCCAAAGTTAGTCATGATTTCCAAAGTAAGTCATGATTTCCAAAGTTAATCATGATTTCCGAAGTGAGTCATGATTTCCAAATTCAAGTCAAGATTTCCAAATTTAATGCAATATAGATTCGCAAACTCCAAACTAAATATTGAAATATTGAACACTGACCTTGATTATCCTTCTGAAGTTCTATCTCGAAGGTTTGTATCTCCGGTAGATCCCTGGAGCTGGCAGCTGCTGGAGTAGGTACTGGAGCAGTTGTTCCTCCTGATCCTCCGTAGTTAGATTCCTCCAGATCCTTTCAAACATACCACAGGTTCAAAACAGGGCTTACTTAAATTTTTTATTTTAAACAAAATTGCTGGGTGTTTCCTAGTCACCAGAAATATCTCATTCCACATAACTTTCATTTGAACGATTCGTGTTTTATCACCAGAGGCGTATTCAAGAATTTGTCCAA